CCTCAATCCCCCGGCTCGCCGCCACGCCAGTCGGGCGCGGCCACGCGGCGCGGCCTGACGGGGCGCGTGGCCTGGTCGCACTGCACCGCGCGCCGGTCGGCGATCGTCGTTGGCCAGAGCATCAAGATGAGTTAAGATTTCAACTTCCGCTCAAAAACGAAGCTGGACCAATCAGAACAGCCAGCCCAACAAGACCATGCAGACCAACCAAACCAACCAGAGCAGCCAGAGCAGACTAGAGCAGGCAGACCAACCAGACCAGCCAGACCAAGAAGACCAGCCAGACCTACCGGACTAGCCAGACCAACCAGACCAGGCAGACCAGACCAACTAGACAAAACCAGCCAGACCAGCCAGACCAACCAGACTAGCCAGACCGACAAGATCAGCCAGACTGACAAGTCCAGCCACAACTCACTGGGGACCACACGGTGCCAGCCGAAACCAGGGGAGGGGGGCGCAGGGGGGACCAGGTTCGGTCTGAATAAAGGGGAAGGAGCGCAGGGGCGAGCGGGGGGGTGGGCCCATGGTCGGTCGGAATAAGGGGAGGGGGGCGCAGGGGAGGAGCGGGGGGGGAGGGCCCACGGTCGGTCGGAATAAGGGGAGGGGGGCGCAAGGGGGGAACGGGGGGGGGCCCACGGTCGGTCGGAATAAGAGGAGGGGGGCGCAGGGGAGGAGCGGGGGGGGTGGCCACGGTCGGTCGGAAATAAGGGGACGGGGGCGCAAGGGAGGAGCGGGGGGGGGGCCACGGTCGTCGGAATAAGGGGAAGGGGGCGCAGGGGAGAAGCGGGGGGGGGTGGCCACGGTCGGGTCGGAATAAGGGAGGGGGGCGCAGGGGAGGAGCGGGGGGGGTGGCCCACGGTCGGTCGGAATAAGGGGACGGGGGCGCAGGGGGGGAGCGGTGGGGGGGCCACGGTCGGTCAGAATAAGGGGAGAGGGGCGCAGAAGAGGAGCGGGGGGAGTGGCCCACGGTCGGGCGGAAGAAGGGGACGGGGGCGCAAGGGGGGAGCGGGGGGGGGCCCACGGTCGGTCGGAATAAGCGGAGGGGGGCGCAAGGGGGGAGCGGAGGGGGTGGCCCACGGTCGGTCGGAATAAGGGGAGGGGGGCGCAGGGAGGGAGCGGGGGGGGTGGCCCACGGTCGGTCGGAATAATGGGAAGGGGGCGCAGGGGAGAAGCGGGGGGGGTGGCCCACGGTCGGTCGGAATAAGGGGAGGGGGGCGCAGGGGGGGAGGGGGAGGGGCCAGCACGACCACCAGCACGACCACCAGCACCTCCACCAGAACGGCCAGCAACACGACCGCGAGCACGACCACCAGCACGACCACCAACACGACCACCAGCACCTCCAGCACGGCCAGCCACCAGCACGACCACCAGCAGAACCACCAGCACGACCACCAGCACGACCACCAGCACCTCCACCAGAACGGCCACCAACACGACCGCCAGCACGACCACCAGCACAAGCACCGGCACGCCCAGCCACCAGCACGACCACCAGCACAACCACCAGCACGACCACCAGCACGATCACCAGCACGACCACCAGCACCTCCACCAGAACGGCCACCAACACGACCGCCAGCACGACCACCAGCACAAGCACCAGCACGACCACCAGCACGACCACCAGCACGACCACCAGCACGACCAGCCACCAGCACCTCCAGCACGGCCAGCCACCAGCACGACCAAGCACGACCACCAACACGACCACCAGCACCTCCAGCACGGCCAGCCACCAGCACGACCACCAGCACAACCACCAGCACGACCACCAGCACGACCACCAGCACCTCCACCAGAACGGCCACCAACACGACCGCCAGCACGATCACCAGCACAACCACCAACGCGACCAGCCACCAGCACGACCACCAGCACAACCGCCAGCACGACCACCAGCACGACCACCAGCCCAGCACGACCACCAGCACCACCAGCACGACCAGCCAGCAGCACGACCACCAGCTCGACCACCAGCACTTCCCAGCACGACCACCAGCACAAGTACCAGCACGACCACCAGCACGACTGCCAGCACCTCCACCAGAACGGCCAGCAGCACGACCACCAGCACGTCCACCAACCACAACCACCAGCACGGCCGCCAGCACAACCACCAGCACGACCGCATTATGGGCACACGGTCGGTCGAAATAAAGCAGTGCGAGATCACACCGGTAGGTATGATGATAATATTCGCGTCCCCGAGGCCACAAGCCCTGGTACATGACGCAATATTCGTGTCCCCGAAACCAGAACCCTTGTAAATTACCCAAGATTCGCGTCCCTGAAACTATAAACCATAATCAATTACACGATGTTCGCACCCCCACAACCAAACACCTATGTAAATTGCATATAATGTTCGCGCCCCCGAAACCATAAACCTTTGAACATCAAATAATATTCGCGTTCCCGAAGGCCATCGACCCTGGTAAATTACACCATAGATGCGTCTCCGGAGCCACAAACACTGGCCAATCATTTAATATTCGCGTCCCCGAGGCCACAACCCCTTGCAAATTATATAATATTCGTGTCCCCGAGGCCAGAATCCTCAGCGAATTACACCATATTCGCGTCCCCGAAGCCATCCCTCTACATTGCTTTATATTTTCGTCCCCGAGGCCGCAAACCTCTGTTAATTACACACTATCGCGTCCCCGAAGCCGTAAACTATTATAATTTAGGGAATGTTTGCGCCCCCGAGAGCATGAACCTATCTAAATTACGGAGTGTTCGCGCCCCCGAAACCATAAGCACTCGACATTGACACAATATTCGCGTCCCCAAGGTCATAAACCATCAGAAACTAAACCATACTAGCGCCCCCGGAGCCACAAACCCATGCAAAGTACAGAATATTCGCGTCCCCGAGGCCATAAACCATAGTAAATTACAATATTTGCGCCGCCGACCCCATCAAGTTTCGTACATCTTTTTAAACAATGTGTCTCCGAGGCCACAACCCCTAGTAACTTACTCAATACTCGCGTCCCCGAAGTAGTAAACCATCGTGCATTAATCTTGGCCCTCGCGTGACGTCCCGACATTGCTTCACGTCAGCGTCCAGACATCGCAACACAGCTCTGGCAAGTCCTATTCTAAGAGAGGGGGGCCGGCGGTATGGGGGCGAAGCCCTTACGGATAATTTCGAGCACCCAGAGAAAAATATCGAAACAGTGTCGAACGAGTATCGCCTCCTAAGGCTCGACACGTGAAAACCCTGCAGTTTCGTTACTTTCCTGGTGCTCGAAATTCTCTCTGGCGTCAAGGTTAAAGTGCGTAGGTTGGAACATAATTCGATTCGGTGCTGTTGCACCACGAAGCTGGGAACATGCGCGGCTGGATTCGCGCGTGGAACAGGCGGAAACCACATGTTGGATATGCACTTGCGGAGGGCCAGCGTGCCCCGTCACACGAGGGCCGAGCGCCGGAGAGACACGTGGCCACCGGCTCCTTGCTCAAGCTGGCCGCGTGACGTGTGCGACTGCGGAGCCCCCAAGCCCAAAGCAATGATCCTGGCGAAGGACCCAACCACATGCAGGCGTGATTTCCGCAGGGAGGTGAGAACGAAAGAAGAGGGCCCCCCCTGCGCCAGCACGAGTGGGCGGCGCGCCGAAACGGGCGAGGCGGTGCCATGCGGGCCCTGCTCCCGGGGCTTTCCACGGGACTCCATCTGATGCGAGGCCGCTCCACGCAGCTGCACTTGGCGCGAGGCAAATGTGCCAAGGTTGGGCGGAGCCGCAATGCGGACCCTGTCGTCGGGGCGTTCGGTGGAGCCCCCTATTGGGTCACGAAGCGTGAGTGGTGCGCCGAACGAGGCACCGCCGCCATGCAGACCTTGCCACTGGAGCCTTCGATTGAGCTCCCAGTGGAGCCACGAAGCGTGAGAGGGGTGAGCTGAGATGAGGCGCCGCCGCCAAGCGATCCCTGCCACAGGAACGTTCGATGGAGCTCCCTATGGGCCCTGTGGAGCCACGAAACGTGGGAGGAGTGCGCTGAATTTAAGCACCGCCGCTACGTGGATCCCACCAGAGGAGCCTTTGATGGAGCTCCCTCTGGGGCCACGAAACGTGTGATGGGGTGTACCGGCGCCGGCATGCGGAAAGGTGGCGCAAGGAGAGGAGCAAAGGAGGGGACAGGGGGAGGAGGGGAGACGCGAGGCGCTGCGGATAGAACACGAGGACCCACCACTACAGCATGGTCGAGGCTTGACGTCTCACTCTTGCTTTCGCCGCCTTCCGCTGGCTTCCGCCGGCAAAACCGCCCCTGACTTGCTTCCGCCGCCCTCCGCCTAAAGAGCAGAGGTCGGCTTCTCGACCCCTGGGGGGCGAGAACCTTCTGGGACGCCCTATGCGTATCCAACTTCCTTGTATATCCAAACATTTTCCGTCGTAGCGCGGCCGAGGCGATCCGCACGCGCGCTCTAATAGCCGGGGACGCGCGGCGTACGAATTACCGGCAGCAGGAGGCGGATGAGGAGAGAGGACGGCCACGGAAAACGGGCGGGGGGAGAGGGCACTCACCACAGAAAGAGTTTCAGGACGAGCGCGCCGGCGAGGCCAGCCGGTGCTGATGGGACCCAGCAGTGGACGCGGGGCGGCCGGCATATCCAAACATCCAACGTCGTGGCCTTTCTCACATCCTGGTCGTTCCTTGGCCGTCCTGGGGATCGGCGAGGGCCCCCAAGGGCCGAAACTTGCCGAGAACCTTCCGTCGCGATTTGCCTTGCGCTGCGAGGATGTCAGGGTGCACACCTGCTTGAGATTCGGAAAACACTACGCTTAGAGAGTATGGACGTCACTCCAAGCGTTTCTTAAACCGTAGTCCAGGCCCAGATCTACGAACATTATACGACGAAAAGCAGCTCCGAGAAGATGCCCAGGGTCCAGTCCGGATGCTTGATTTCTTGAGCGATATCTGGGGTCCTTGGACGTTGATGCTTTCTCTTCATACTTCTGATCAGTGTAGTTGGCGACCCCCGATCCTGGTCAAGAGCAGACCCACAGGATCTCGGCGGCGGTCTCGCTCACCAGGTCCGCGAGCAGCTTCCGCGCGGCGCTGCGGAGCACCTGCTGGGCATCGGCGGAGTCGTCCAGCCAGTCGGCCCCCTCGGCGACGACCTCGTCCTTCAGCATCCTGTCGATGCTCTCGTCCCACGAGTCGGCGAGGCCCTCTTTGTAACGCCGAAGAGAGGGGATGTGGGTGCGCATCTCGGCCCGAGGTGGGTGCGCGGCCTGAGGGGGGCCCGGGGGTGCTCTGCATCAAGAGCACGAAGGCCGTAACATCTGGGAGGCTCCATGCCCTGGCCACGATATCCGCACACCCTCCGCCCTGACCCCGCCCCAATCTGGACGCCCCCGACCCAGTCGGGGGGTGGACAGAACTCTCTGTAACCAAACGCCCTTCAATGGGCACGACCCGGGACCAGACACGGCGGGCGCAAGCCTGCGTACGACAACTGCGGCCGCCACGCCCCCCTCGCGAGAACCGAACAACCTGGGGACCTACCCAACCCTTTTAAGCATGTGGCGAATGTACACGTCGTTCATTTCTAATCGTGCTCATTTCTAATTGTGCTCGTTTCTAATTGTTCCCGGCCCCCTAGTGGCTAGGAAGAGGCCCAGGATATCACAATTAGAAATGACAGGATCTTGCCCCCCCCCAAAATCAAAGAACTTTCGAATGATTGGCCGCTCAATACAAAACAATCCTTGAATGATCCGCAATGCCTTTGAACGTTTCGCCAAAGAGCGTTGGGGCAGAGTCAGATGTCTCACATGTGCGGTGTCACTCTCAAGAGTCAGGTCGTTGGCAGGAGAGCGACCACGAGGGGGCGTGGAAACATGTGGAGGGGGGACGATTGGAGACATATTTCACGGGAGTAGCAGCGACTTGCGCTGTGTTCGCATTGCAGGACAGCGCTCTGCAAAAGTTCCGAACAATCGAAGGACTCAAGGGTGCCTTTGGGAAGATTATGCGTCCTTATCCGTCCACGGGGCGACTATAAGCAGGGCTGGGATCACACCTGCCTCTGCCTCATTTGTTCAGCCCTGTGCCTGACTGCCGCCGGGTTTATATTCTCGGCCGCCCATGCTTCAGGGGACTGGTGGCGACAGTATCACGGATTGCAGGCCCCCAGGGGACGGCGAGCTATAGTTGTGATGTGCGTAAGACGTCACTTCGCTGGCCCTCTCAGAAGCCCACGAAAGTGGCGACAGTTTCGCCCCCCCCCCCCCCCCCCAGAGGACGGCGAGGTCTCGTGGTGATCCGCGCAGGACGTACCTCCGCTGGCCCTCCCATAGCGCACGAGCATGGCGACAGTTTCGCAGATCGCAGCCCCCCAGGGGGCGACGAGGTCTCGTGGTGATCTGCGTATGACGTACCTCCGCTGTCCGTCCCAAACGCCCACGAAAATGGCGACACTTTCGCAGATCGCAGCCCCGCAAGGGGACGGCGAGGTCTCGTGGTGATCTGCGTAGGACGTACCTCCTCTGGCCCTCCCAGAAATGCAGCGAAAGTGGCGACAGTTTCGCAGATCGCAGCCCCCAAGGGGACGGCGAGGTCTCGTGGTGATCTGCGTAGGGCGTACCTCCGCTGGCCCTCCCAGAAGCCCGCGCAAGTGGCGACACTTTTGCAGATCGCAGCCCCCCAGGGGACGATGAGGTCTCGTCGTGATCTGCGCAGGACGTACCTCCGCTGGGCCTCCCAGGAGCCAACGAACATGTCGACACTGTCGCAGATCGCGTCCCCCCAGCGGACGGCGAGGTCTCGTGGTGATCTGCGTATGACGTACCTCCGCTTGCCCTTCCAGAAACCCACGAACGTGACGACAACCTGGCAGATCGCAGGCCCCCCAAGGAACGGCGAGGTCTCGTGATGATCTGCGTAGGGCGTGTCTTCGCTGGGCCTCCCAGGAGCCCACGCAAAATGGTGACAATGTCGCAGGTCGCGCCCCCCCCCCCCCAGGGGACGGCGATGTCTCGTGGTGATCTGCGTATGTTGTACCTCCGCGGGGCCTCCAAGGAACCCACGAGCATGGCGACACTTTCGCAAGTCGCAGGCCCCCAAGGGGCGACGAGGTCTCGTAGTGATCTGCGTAGAGCGTACCTCCGCTGGCCCTCCCATATGCGCACGAGCATGGCGACAATTTCGCAGATCGCAGCCCCGCCAGGGGCTGAGAAGTTTCGCGGTGATCTGCGTAGGACGTACCTCTGCTGGGCCTCCCACGGGCCTGCGAATGTGGCGTCAATGTCGCAGATCGCAGCCCCCCCCCCCAGGGGACGGCAAGGTCTCGTGGTGATTTGCGTAGGGCGTACCTCCGCTGGCCCTCCCAGACGCCGCCGAACATGGCGACACTTTCGCAGATCGCAGACCCCCCCCGCCCAGGAATGGTGAGGTCTCGTGGTGATCTGCGTAGGGCGTACCTCCTCTGGCCCTGGCGACGGTTTCGCAACTCGCACCCCCCCCCAAGGGACGGCGAGGTCTCGTGGTTATCTGCGTAGGACGTGCCTTAGCTGGGCCTCCCAAGAGCCAACGACAATGGCGACAATGTTGCGGATCGCGGCCGCCCAGGGGACGGCGAGGTCTCGTGGTGATCTGCGTCGGACGTACCTCCGCTGGCCCTCCCAGAAACCCACGAACGTGGCGACAGCTTCGCAGCTCGCAGCCCCCCGGGGACGGCGAAGTCACGCGGCATGAGGAGGATGAAGAACACGAGGAGGAGCAGAATGGAGGGAAACAAGGAGGAGGTGAAGACTGCGGAAGCGGAGAATGAGGAGGGGGAGGGGGAGGGGGAGGAGGAGGATGATGATGAGGAGGAGGAGGATGAGGAGGAGGAGGAGGAGGAGGAGGAGGAAGAGGAGGCGGAGGAGGAGGAAGAGGAGGATGAGGAGGAGGAGGAAGCGGAGGAGGAGGAGGGGTGGAGACCACCGTGCTGTATTCAAAACGAGAACCCAACCAAGGGAGGGTTGGGAACTACCTGGGGGCGTGCCCAACCATTTGTACACATGCGGCGGCTATACATCGGGCCGCTCAATCCATACACAAGCACTGAAAGCGCCGCCGTGCTCTCGAACGCTTCGCCAAACAACGTTGGGCCATAGTCGAATGTTCCGAATTCGCGGCGTCACTCTTAAAGAGTCCAATCTTTGGCAGGAGCGCGACCACGACGGGGCGTGGAAACATACCTATTTTTTTGGGGGGGGGGGGGGAAACTGGAGACATGCTTCGTGGGAGTAGCAGTGCATCGCGCTAGGTTACCATTGCAGACCACCGCCATGTGCGCTATGACAGAACAACGCCCTGCGCTAAGCGCTGCAAGTGCGCGAGTGCGCTACGGACACGAAGCAACTGAAGAGTCGATGCGGGATAGGCACATGACAACGTCATGCGCTCCGTGGCGCCCCACCGCGATCTGCAATCAAAAACAGCTGCGGGGTCTCATGGTGGTCCCCGTGGGACACCCGTCCGCTGGATCTCCCAGGAGCCCACGAATGTGGCGACAGTTTCGCAGATCGCAGAGCACCAGGGGGCGGCGAGGTTTCGTGGTGATTTGCGTAGGACGTACGTCCGCTGGCCCTCCCAGAAAGCCACGAACGTGGCAACCGTTTCGCAGACCGCAGGCCCCCCAGGGGACGGCGAGGTCTCGTGGTGATCTGCGTAGGACGTACCCCCGCTGGCCCTCCCAGGAGCCCACGAAAGTGGCGACAGTTTCGCAGATCGCAGCCCCCCAAAGGACGGCGAGGTCACGCGGCAGGGGGGAGGACACAACCGACGAGGAGGATAACGGAGGGAGGAAGGAGGAGGAGGAGGAGGAGGAGGAGGAGGAGGAGGAGGAGGAGGAGGAGGAAGAGGAGGAAAAGGAGGAGGAGGAGGACGAGGAGGAGGAGGAGGAGGATGAGGAGGATGAGGAGGAGGAGGAGGAGGAGGAAAGGTGCAGACCACAATGCTCTATTCAAAACGAGAACCCAACCAAGGGAGGGTTGGGAACTACCCGGGGGCGTACCCAACCCTTTGTACACATGCGGCGGCTATACATCGGGCCGCCCAATACATACACAAGCACTGAAAACCCGCCGTGCTCTTTCTTGAACGAATCGCTAAGAAACGTTGGGCCAGAGCCAAATATACCAAATTCGCGGCATCACTCTGAAGAGTCAGATACTGGCAGGAAGGCGACCACGAGGGGGCGTGGAAACATATTGATGGGGGGAACTGGAGACATGCTTCGTGGGAGTAACAGCGCATCGCGCTAGGTTCTCATTGCAGAACAGCGCCATGCGCGCTATGACAGAACAGCGCCCTGCGCTAAGCGCTGCAAGTGCACTACGGACAAGAGGCAACTGAAGAGTCGATGCGGAATAGGCACATGACAGCGTCATGCGCTCCGTGGCGCCCCATCCCGCTGCGATCTGCGATCGAACGGCGCAGCGAGGTCTCATGGTGGTCCCCGGGAGACTCCCGTCCGCTGGATCTCCCAGGAGCCCACGAAAGTGGCGACAATTTCGCCGTACCCCCCCAGGGACGGCGAGGTCTCGTGATCTGCGTGGGACGTACCTCCATTGGGCCTCCCAGGAGCCCACGACAATGGCGACACTTTCGCAGATCGCAGTCCCCCAAAGGACAGCGAGCTCTTGTGAAGATCTGCGCAGGACGTACCTCCGCTGGGCCTCCAAGAAGCCCACGAACGTGGCGACAGTTTCGCAGATCGCAGCCCCCCAGGGGACGGCGAGGTCTGGTGGTGATCTGCGTGAGACGCACAAGCGGCCAGGCCTCCCAAGAACCCACGAAAGTGGCGACAGTCTCGCAGATCGCACCCCCCCCCAGGAACGGCGAGATGTCGCGGTGATCTGCGTAGGACGTACCTCCGCTGGCCTCCCAGAAGCCCACAAACGTGGCGACTGTTTCGCAGATCGCAGCCCCCCAAAGGACGGCGAGGTCTCGTGGTGATCTGCGTGGGACGTACCTCCGCTGGCCTTCCCAAAATCCAGCAAAAGTGGTGACAATTTCGCAGATCGCAGCCCCCAAAGGGACGGCAAGATCTCGTGGTGATCTGCGTGGGACGTACCTCTGCTGGCCCTCCCAGAAGCCCACGAAACCGGCGACAGTTTCGCAGATCGCAGCTCCCCAAGGGACGGCGGAGTCTCGTAGTGATCTGCGTGGGACGTGCCTCCGTTGGGCCTCCCAGGAACCCGCGAAAGTTGCGGCAGTTTCGCAGGTCGCAACCCCCTAAGGGACGGCGAGGTCTCGTGGTGATCTGTGTGGGAAGTACCTCCGCTGGCCCTCGCAGAAGCCCACGAAACCGGCGACAGTTTCGCAGACCGCAGCCCCCCAAGGGACGGCGGAGTCTCGTGGTGATCTGCGTGGGACGTACCTCTGCTGGCCCTCCCAGAAGCCCACGAAACCGGCGACAGTTTCGCAGATCGCAGCCCCCCAAGGGACGGCGGAGTCTCGTGGCGATCTTCGTTGGACGTGCCTCCGTTGGGCCTCCCAGGAACCCGCGAAAGTGGCGGCAGTTTCGCAGATCGCAACCCCCCATGGGACGGCGAGGTCTGGTGGTGATCTTCGGGGGACGTACCGCCGCTGGCCCTCCCAGAAGCCCACGAAAATGGCGACAGTTTCGCAGGCCGCGGGCATGAGGCAGAAGGCAGGCGGGAGGAGAGAGGAAGAGGAAGGGAAAAGGGGGGGCGGGAGGAGGTGAAGGAGGAGGTGGAGACCACGCTGCTCTATTCAAACAGAATGCCCAACACAAGAAGGTTTGGAACACTACCCGGGGACGTGCCCAACCCTCTGTGCACATGCGGCGGCTATACATCGGACCGCTCAATACATAAGCAAACACTGCAGGATCCACCGTGCTCTTGAACGCTTCTTCAAACAACGTTGGACCAGAGTCAAATGTTCCAAATTCGCGGCATCACTCTTAAGAGTAGGTCGTTGGCAGGAAGGCGACCACGAGAGAGGCGTGGAAACATACTGATGGGGGGGGGACCGGAAACATGCTTCGTGGGAGTAACAGCGCATCGAGCTAGGTTCTCATTGCCGAACAGCGCCATGCGCGCTATGACAGAACAGCGCCCTGCGTTAAGCGCTGCAAGTGCTCGAATGCACTATAGACAAAAAGGCAACTGAACAGTCGATGCGGCATGGGCACATGACAACGCCATGCGCTCCGTGGCGCCCCATCCCGCTGCGATCTGCGATCAAAAAGCGCAGCGGGGTCTCATGGTGGTCCCCGTGGGACACCCATCCGCTGGACCTCCCAGGAGCCCACGAACGTGGCGACAGTTTCGCAGATCGCAGCCCCACAAGGGACGGCGAAGTCTCGCGGTGATCTGCTTATGACGTACCTCCGCTGGCCCTCCCAGAAGAAGCCCACGAAAGTAGCGACACTTTCGCAGATCGCACAGCCCCCGAGGGCCGCAAGGGGGCGACGAGGTTTCGTGGTGATCTGCGTAGGATGTACCTCCGCTGGCCCTCCCAGAAGCCCACGAACGTGGCGACAGTCTCGAAGATCGCAGCCCCCTGGGGAGCGACGAGATCTCGTGGTGATCTGCGTGGGACGTACCTCCGCTGGCTCTCCCAGGAGCCCCAAAAAGTGGCGATAGTCTCGCAGATCGCAGCCCCCTGGGGACGGCGAGATCTCGTGGTGATCTTCGTGGGACGTACCTCCGCTGGCCCTCCCAGAAGCCCACGAACATGGCGACAATTTCGCAGATCGCAGCCCCCCAGGGGACGGCGAGATCTCGTGGTGATCTTCGTGGGACGTACCTCCGCTGGCCCTCGCAGAAGCCCACGAAAGTGGCGACCGTCTCGCAGATCGCAGCCCTCCAGGGGGCGGCGAGGTCTCGTGGCGATCTGCGTGGGACGTACCTCCGCTGGCCCTCCCAGGAGCCCACGAAAGTGGCGACAGTTTCGCAGATCGCAGGCCCCCAGGGGGCGGCGGGGTCACGAGGCTGGGAGGAGGAAACACACGAGGAGGAGGAGACTGGAGGGAGGAAGGAGGAGGAGGAGGAGGAGGAGGAGGAGGAGGAGGAGGAGGAGGAGGAGGAGGAGGAGGAGGAGGAGGAGGAGGAGGAGGAGGAGGAGGAGGAGAAGGAGAAGGTGGGGACCGCAGTGCTCTGTTCAGAACGAGTACCCACCACAGGAGGGTTGGGAAAGAAAGAGGAGGCAGGAGGGAGGCGGGAGGACGGAGACCACAGTGCTCTATTCAAAACGAGTACCCAACCAAGCGAGGGTTGGGAACAAAGGACGTTCGCTGATCGACTTGGCAGGGTGGGGGTTCTGTCAACCTCCGACTCTGGCGGCGAAGACAAGGTGGTGGGGCGGAGTGGGTGGCCTCCTAACCCTGTTTCGCGCCACTTCGGGCCCCGCGGGTCTCCTCACAAGTCGATCTGGCTCTTAAAGCCGCAAGAAGATGGGGTGGGCCTACTGGCTGCAATCGTTTGGCGATGTGCTATTTTTCTGTGACGCCGGATCTGAGGCGGCTCCTGGGAGAGCTTTCCTGCCTTCTTGAAAGGCCTCCGATGCTCTTCGAAGAAGCACCCTGCCTTTTTGGAAGGCTTCCCCTCGCCTCACACCCCTGTGCGCAGCGCCACTCCAAAGATCCGATGTGCGTTATTGCTTCGATCCAACATGCTTTTCCCGGAAGGAGTGGAGAATAGGATCGCGCGACCACTGAACCTTACCACGGAGTTACTGGCAATCGTATTGTCTTGATCCAGTATGACCCCCCCGAAGGTCCGACCCTTTCTCCAGGGCCGGTTCTCATCCCAAGCGCTCGTTAGACGGCCGTGGGGCCCCGCGAGGCCGATTTTTTTTGTTAGTGCGTTGGGGGTCTGGTTCTCGGGCCATAACTCGGGTCTCCGGCGGCCGTTCGGGACAACCCGGGCACACCCAGAAGGCTCTTGGCGAGGCGCAGCTGCTGGCATGGATCCCGAGGCGAAGAAACCCTCAACAACCAGCGAAAACCTGCGGAAACCTGGGAGGAGGAGGAGGAGGAGGAGGAGGAGGAGGAGGAGGAGGAGGAGGAGGAGGAGGAGGAGGAGGAGGAGGAGGAGGAGGAGGAGGAGGAGGAGGAGGAGGAGGAGGAGGAGGAGGAGGAGGAGGGAGGAGGAGGAGGAGGAGGAGGAGGAGAGAGGAGGAGGAGGAGGAGGAGGGAGGAGAGGAGGAGGAGGAGGAGGAGGAGGAGGAGGAGGAGGAGGAGGAGGAGGAGGACCCCCTGCAGGCCCAATGTTTTGACATCCCGCTCGATCTGTGCTTCATCTTCCAGAGACAGCATGATTGTGCCAGGACTGTGAACAGCCCACGAGCTGCGACTGGAGGCGCCTAATCTTCTCGCGCCTTCTCATGTGCATGCGAATTTAGCACGCTTCGGTCATGAGCCATTGCAACGAACCGTAGAACTGTAAGAGGAGGAGGGGGAGGAGGAGGAGGAGGAGGAGGAGGAGGAAAAGGAGGAGGAGGAGGAGGAGGGGGAGGAGGGGGAGGAGGAGGAGAAGGAGGAGGAGGGGGAGGACGAGGAGGAGGTCTGGGGCTCCTGCCGGCCGCCGCAGCCCGCGAAGGACGCGGCGGAGACCAGCTGCGACCGCACGGCGCCCCACGTCACGATAGGCCTCGGGGGGGAGAACGTTCGGGTGGAATCGGCGATGCTCTAAGAAGATGAACAGTTCGGGGATGGACAGAACTCCCTTTAACACTAAACGTGGTTTGGTGAAAGCGACCTCGGGCCCAAACCTGGCGGGCGCAAGCCTGGAAAGTGACGGCCGCGGCGCCCTCTCGAGAACCGAAAACGGACAATTCACTGATCGACGTGTCAGGATAAGGGGTTCTGTCCACCCCCGAATAGTAAGCACATGGGTAACAATACGGGAGATGAGTAATCATACTGCTTATGTTGCTAATCAATTTGAAGCTAACAAGATGCGTATGAGCGCTACATAACACACAACAAACATAATACTGACTACACACTTAACGACAAGAACGAACGATACGAAAAATAACACTCACAAGAGCAAAAACTGCATAAACAGATTTCGAAGGTCCGCGCGTATCTCTCGGACAGGCGCTGCATCTCCCTGGCGGCGCCTCCGCCGCCGCCCCCGGCGCGCTCGGCGCGCCAGGGAGGCGGGCCCAGCGCCGGTCGACATCCGCGCGGATCTCCGAGAGTTTATGCTTACTTCTGCGTTGAGCCGAGAAACACCGAGCTGGAATCGGCGATGCGTCGCCAACAGATCGGCAGCAGGCCCCGGAGTAGCGAAACAGCACGCTCCTGGGCGGGGGTCACCGGTCCCCTGTCGTTGATCGATGGGCGACCAGGGGTCGATGAATCCTCCCTGAGCTTACGGCCGGAAGCTTTTGCTTGGCGTGTCGGCGTGTCGTGGCGGCGGCTCCAGCGACACCAAATCGAAAGCGTGTCGCTCCACTCCGCGGGCGGGAGGCTGGGAACGGCTCGGACCGTTGATGCTCGGGGACCAGGGCGGGTTTAGCGCATCGCGCCGAGGCGCGGTAGGCCACAACTGGCGCCCGAAAACTCTAAGCAAACGTTTTCCCGACCGTAACGTTGCCCCTAACTCAGACCCCTGACACCATTTTTTGTTTTACAACCTCATTATCATCATACCGTGTTTTTTGATCTCGACGCGAAGGGGTCTGGGTCCCAACCTAGACACATCAACACCAACATAGACATACGCTTTCGGAGGTCCGCGCGAATTTCTTGAATCTGTGCTGGGCCGCGCGAGGGGCGGCGCCAGAGGCGCCGCAAGGGGTGTCCGGCGCATGTCCAAGAAATCCGCGCGGAGCTCCGACAGTTTTGTGTCGTGTAGTTCTTGCGTCTTCGCATCCCCCCTGCGCGGCCCCCCAAGGGCCGAAAACATCCAACAGCCTCCCGTCCTCGAGGGGGCTTGGTTTTCGGGTCATTGCTCGGGTCTCAGGCGGCCGTTCGAGACCATCCGGGCCCTCCTGGGAAGCTCTCGGCGAGGCGAAGCTGCTGGCAAGCATCCCGAGGCGAGAAAACCCTCAAGAGCTATCAACAACTTCCGAAGACCTCCGACGCGAGGATGTCGGACGACGACGACGACGACGACAACGAGAAACCTCAGGGGGTCGCGTTGTCAGGTCATAACTTGGCTCTCCGGTGGCCGTTCGGGACGATCCCGGCACCCCCGGAACGCTCCCGACGAGGCGCAGCTGCTGGAAACCATGCTGGGACTCGAAAACCTCAACTTGAGCAACACTCCGAGAACATCCGAAAACTTCCTCGAGCCCACGGGCCTCGGACGAAATGAGCGAGCACCCATGCCACATTCATATGTCAATGCCCCCCCTATAACAATGCTGGCGGCCGCGCACGCCAACTCTGAATTTTGTGGAGAGGGGAGTGACCACTGTCGTTTTTTCTCTCGACCCTGTCTTTGCTACCCTCCCGCGGGGCGGCGGCGGCCGCGTATACCCGCGAGGCCGGGGGGCGCCGCCACCCCCGCGCGCGAGGACGCGCCCTCCCTGCGCCTGGCGTTGCCTACCGCACCCCCCCCCTTCGGCGGTGGACAAACCTCCCTTTACAATAAACCTCCCTTTTAATGAAAACGGCCCAGGCCCGCAAAACCGACGGACCTCGAGGCCCGCAAAAACGACGGCCGCGACGCCCTCTCGCGAGCCGAAACCGGCCGATTCGCTAATCGACGAGTCAGGGTAGGAGGTCTATCAACCTCCTCCCCCTCTGGCGCTGCCCCCGAGGCCTGGGCACGAAGCGCGCCAGGGGCCCCTATCGGCGACCAATGGGCGCTCAATGGGGCCCCTATCGGCGACCAATGGGCGATTGGGGGTCGATGCGTACCCCCCCCATTGCCTATATCCCCCCCCCTGTCTCGCTGCCCTCCCCCTCTGGCGCTGCCCCCGAGGCCTGGGCACGAAGCGCGCCAGTGGCCCCGCGAGGCGCCCGCGGCCGGCGGCGGCCGCCCGGCGGCGCTCGGCGCCCGCGCGGCCGCGGCCCGAAGGGGGCCTCCACGCCCTCGGCAGGCAGGGGCGCCCCGGGCGGGGTGGAGGGCACGACTGCGACGACTCTTTGTGCAAAGGAGGGAGAGGTACCCATATACCTCTACCCCCTCGCCCGTTTTCCCCTTGTCGGCCTCCTTGGAGGCCCTCGTCGCCACCGTTGGATTCGCCTCGAAATCCTGGTCAGAACGCACCCCAGGAGGAGGTCCGTGGGGTAGCGGTATGGGTACAATTTGGTTTCCCCAGTTGTCGTCACAATCTTCGTCGTCGTCAGGCGTCGTCGTCGTCGTCGTCGTAGCCGTCGCCGGCGCCGCCGTGGTCGTGGTCGTGGTCGCCGTCGTCGTCGTCGTGGTCGAGGCCGCCGTGGACGCCGCGACGTCCTCCGCAGGCGAGGGGGCCCAGGATGGGTTGATGGCACGACGGCGGCGCGTATATGCCCCTGCGACCCAGGGATAGATCCAACGCGTTGACAAAAATCAAGACGGAGCCTTTTCGCCGTTTTCGGCCTCTAAATGCCATCGCCAAGCCCTGGGACCGCCCAAAAACGGCTCAGGATGAAAAGCCGGTTCCCGGGAGTGGGTCGAGACTTCTGGGGACCCGGTACTGAAAAGTTCAAGAAATCAGACCTCTGGGGACGTCCAGGGCCCCTGGCGGACATCGAGAACGCCAGCGGCGACGACCACGAAGCCGGCGACGCCTCGACCCAGACATCCGGCCGCTGCAATTTTTTCGAGGCGTGGGCCCATGGAGCTCTGGACAACTACCCCAGGGCCGCTTTTTCGTCCCGAGTCGTTTTCTGACGCTTCCGAGCCCCGGCGAGGGGCCCTGGAGCGTCGACGTCGACGTCGACGTCGACGTCGACGTCGACGTCGTCGTCGTCGTCGTCGTCGTCGTCGTCGTCGTCGTCTTTTCCGAAAACGGCCAAAAACCACCCGCTCCAATTTTTTAGGGGGGGAGCGTCGGATCTCTGGGGGCGACCCCGCCCACAGCACCTGGCGCACGGAGAGCGACCACCCACGCCACGGCCCGGACGACGCGGACGGCCACGCCGACGGCCATGCTGTCCGCCTGGGGGCGACGAGCGGCCCCGCCCAGACGGCCTGCTCCCCCGCCGACGCCGTGCGCCTCCCCCGGCCGGCGCCGTGCGCCAGGGGACCGACCTCCGAGCATACAGCCGACGTGTGCACACCCGACGAGGTCAGGCAGGAGTGTTCCAGGAGCACTCCGTGCAAACCACGGGTGGCTCTCAGGTGGGCGCTGGCAGTGTTCTAGGCGCCGTCGTTGCCGATGCACCTCCGACGTGCAAGGCTTCTCTCTCTCTCTCTCTCGCTCTCCTTATCTCGTCCTCTGACCCGAGCGGCTCGCCTCCCTGGCCGCGCTGCCCGAGCTTCGGGCTCGGCCGCCGTTCGGGCCGAAACACATTCTTTCGTGCGCCTATCGGCAAGCCGGGGCGCCTCGCCACTGCCCGAGGGAGACGCGCAGCCTCGAGGCGGCTGCCACGATGTGGAGCGACGGGGCCGGCTCGGTGAGCACCTCCACGACCGTGAGGATCGCCGCGGCAACCGCCGCCGCCACGACCTGGCGGCTGCTTCCTCCAGCAGCAGCGCCAGCCGCCGCCGCCTGCGCGAGCGGGGCGAGGGCCACCAGCATCGCGCGCACGTCCCCACGGAGGGGCCCGACCGCCGCCATCGCCCAAGCGCCCCGCGGGAGGCGGGAGAGCACAACTTGAGCCAAAATGACTACGGAGGAGGAGGAGGAGGGGGAGGGGGGAGGAGGAGGGGGAGGAGGAGGAGGAGGGGGAGGAGGAGGAAGAGGAGGGGGAGGAGGAGGGGGAGGAGGAGGAGGAGGAGGAGGAGGAGGAGGAGAGAAGGAGGAGGGGGAGGAGGAGGAGCGCACGGTGCCTCGGCGCGCAAGCTCCTCCCGGCCGAGCTAGGCCACGCCCACGGCGGGCCCGTGGCGGGGCAGGCGCACGCTGCGCTCACCGACTCCTGCGTGCTGGACACGCTGCGCTGGGTCGTCTGCTGGTGGACCAGGTCCTTCGCGACGATGTCCGACTTCTGCCTGATGATCTGCTGCCGCAGCCGTGGCGTCGCTTGAAGTGGCAGCGTGCTGTTAACGCAACTCTTTTCTCAGCGACCTCGTCCGCTTCGACCATACCCAAGCCGATTTCCTCGAGGTGATCAACTCCACAGTCATCTCTGGTCCCCGCATCGGTCATCGAGGCTGCCAGCTGGGCCGAAAACTTGGCAGCAAGCTTCGCAATGTGATGACATCCCTCGACCAGCTCAACGTCAGACCCTTGCGCTCTGGCCAGTGCTGCTCCTCTTTTTGAACACTTGTCCCCAACGTTGTTTCCATCGCGGTTAAACTCCGAAATCGGGTCCCGCTCCACACTGGCAGCCGTCGTATGGGCTTTGACGTGCTGGAACGGGCGTGCCACGAAATCTTCCCTCGCATGCACCTGCTTCCACAGATGGGCTCTCGGGTTGCCCAGCGGGGTGGCCATGCGAGGTGACTGACCGAAACTTAGTGTACCTTTGCAGTCAGCTCGCGCCGAAAACGTCCCCATCACATGCTGGAGGGCACATTAGCATCGCGAAATCTTCTCCGTCTCGGG